CCCCTTTCCCCCCCCCCCCGTTTTTTACCAACATTAGGGATAGCGTAAAGATCCGTAACATCAGAGAAGTTTATCTTAATTTTACCGCCTTTCGACATTGTGGGTCAAAAGTTCACAGGTCAAATGTCAAATCTGAACAAAAATGTAAGAAGTGATATTCTATAGAATAATTCGCACAATGATCAAAAAATTCAAATAGTAAACAACTCTCAAAGTCAAAGTTCAAACAAGCACAACCCAAAAGAAGTAGTAAATAGTACAATAAATCGCACAATGATCAAAATATTCAAACTAACACTTTTAAAGTTAACGGTTAAACATGCATGTAATTGAAAGTAACGATAATGAAATAGCCAAAAAATTCGTAGCGTTTAGCAAATAATTCAAGCTAAAAAAAACTATAACTCTCAATCAACAGCAAAAACAATATTCAATTAACGAACGTGGTTAGTGTTATTGGGAAATAGGTTTAAGTACGCAATAAATACAACTAAACCTATCCGAATCAACATTCACACAAGCAACAATGTAAACAAATTTAAATGTTCACCTGTGGATAAACCAGGTCGGTTAGAAAGAATATGCAAATGAGGAATGCGTATTACACAACCATCGATTCTTACCTCTCAATTAAGAAAACAAAGATTGTGCGTCTTAATAATGTCTGCACCTAAATACCACACCCTCTCCTAAACGCTAAAGAGGTTAAGCCTAACTATATATTCCTAAACTATAAAATACTTGTGTAGGTACTCGATAGTCCACACTCCCCCTAGTAAGACTTCCTCAAACCGGCCAAGAGTGTGCGACCTACAGCACTTCCCTACACAAACCCTAACTGTCCTATTCTAATTTTCATTACAATATCAGTACAAATGATCGTGAGTGACTCCAAACTCACAATCGGCGATAATATTGTACAAATAGTAGCCTTTAGCTCGCAGCGCCAATATTGTAAAATCGATAGTGTATAATAGGTACTTAACCGGTAATCAGGGGCGGTTACAGGATTTAGCAAAGTACGAAGCACCGAGGGCAGGGGTGGATCCAGCCCGCCAGAAAGGGGGGGGGGCGCAATCTGCGAGCGAAGCGAGCAGCCTTAGGCTGGGGGCCAGGGGGGCCGCCTAGGGCCCCGGCGGGGTCCAGGGGCGGAGCCCCTGGTGGAGGTCGAAGGGGGCGAAGCCCCTTGAAGCCCAGCACATTTGAGGAATATGAGGTTGTATTGGGTCGATTTTGACTATCTAGCATGGTAGTTTTCAGTAACAAATAAATATATAAAAAAAAAATCGGTGTATGTCTTTTAAAAGAAATTTTATTACAGGGTACCATCTCAAACATAGTCTTTGACAACATGCAAAGGCTCATAAATGTACACCATTTCAAAAGAGAAATTTCACCATAATGAAGTTTCTCAGCAACATTGAGCATAAAAATCACAAAATCAGCAAAAAGGAAAACTAATATCCAAAATCCGTTAAAAAAAGTCGTCAAAACAACAAAATCCGCTACTGTAACATTGAGTAAATTCTATTTCTTCCAAGTGGATTTAAGAATAGCAGACTCCTATGGTGTTTTTGGTAGGAAAAGAAGACAAACTCTGTGGGTGTAATTTTTTCTTTGCAAAAAGGGGTCGGGGGAGGTGGTACGCCTCTTACACGCCACCCCTCCTAAATCCGCCACTGGAAATAGGCCTATAGGCCCTAGGTTTAGGCAGGCCTACTTTGTTTCATGTAAATTAGAGACAGGTTTATACAATTTTATACAGTATATCTTGTAAATTACACAATATGATTAAACCAGGTACTGTACTTTAAAACAATAAGGAAGCAAAACTTACACGTCAAAAGTGTCAAAGTTGTTTACACAAAAACTGTACTTTATTAAAAAAGTAAGTCTACTGAAGGGGTGTCGTCAATGGAGATGTGCACACATATCAGTGTACTATGGTCACTGTGCATGGGGTTGTCTGACAGAACATACCTGCTGACCTCGATAGAGAGTGATTGATAGCACAAAGGTTTCCATGCTGGTGCATCTGCGCTTATACTGTCTCTGTAGCTATGCATGACATAGAATCAACCTTTTTTTTTATGGAATTGGAATTGTGTATCCATTCAATTATCTGCTGGGTGTTGCACGTATATTTTTTATATGCAAATACGCTGACCCGAAGGTCGTAGTGCCTCAAAGGTTGGGCTTCATTAGCCCTGCGAGGGTCGTCACTACAGTGGGAAAGGGGCTAGCGATTTTTCCATACAGTAACTCGTCGAGTAGGCTAATGTTACTCGGTAATATACGCCAATTAATTAACAACTATGCTAAACTCCATAGCACTGCAACAATTCAGTATTATGATTAAACAATAGTCAATTAAGCTTCTTTGGGCTTAGGGACTAATATGAAGGAAATTAAGTAAAAAATTATTAGGCCACAGTCTTCACTGACCGGCTACTCTGTGTGGGTAGCTGAAATGGCTGCAGTAAAGGCTAGGCCTGCAACACTATAATCCCACGATGCTAATACAATGACATTACGGTAGTGGTGAAGTGAAACATAATCTTAGATGGGACGTCCCTGGATGGTACGCGCCACGCGCATTATAGAGTACCACAGTCGCGTCGACACACGCCAGGTGGCGCTCTCTGTTGTTGTCAACCAGAGTCGTAGATAGAGCATGGAGGTATTATTGAGAAAGAGATCACTCGGCAACAGATCCCTTTGACGCGACAAACCTATAGCTTGGTTCACATCGGTTATTGTCGACATAAGTAGATAAACTATTGAACAGCGCTACACTCCTAATTGCGTTCGATGGTCCGATTATGTCGAGATACCTTGCTGGACCAACTACGCTCACGAGAGCGGCGGTTGTGATCCCGGTGTGACCAAGATCACGCATTCGTACAGCCATTTGCTCATGAATGGTAGCTTTTTGTCTGTACATTTTATCTTCCACCTTTTCACATACCTCTGGTTCCTTCCAAATGTCAATAAGATCGAATTCTTTTTCATAAGTCCAACAATGTCGCTTTTGGCGTACTTTCTCGGTCATAATTGATATAAAGATCTAAGCTAGGCCTACACTGAAAAACCTTCTCTCTCGAACGATCAAAATAAACTAACAAACAAGCAACTTTGCTAAGGGTCAACTGGCTTCGTTCTGATTGGTGTATTCGTGACCTGAGGCCACCCGTGGTGCGTTATCAACTCGACGATGACTGGATTTACAAGTTAGTCGAGCTAACAGCCATCGTCGAGTTATGAACTTTATCTCGTCGTAATTGACCGTTCACGTCGAAACTATTGTCGACATCAAGTAGATAATCTAGTCGACATAGTTCGATGTGAACGAGGTTTATGTGTTCCCCGCTTTTGGATCGCGCGCGGGCGTATTACCCTATAATTCACATTTTTTCGTTAGCAACAACTTGGCAACGACATGCATTTATACGCTTCCAGCAGAGCAGTTGTGCAATAATACGTTTGATTTTAACCCATGAAATATCTTTATAATGAACAATGTTCCCCTGATTAGATTTTTTCGGGCTTTTGGTATGTTATTATTTGTATATTTCAGGAACGGATTCCGTAAAATATTTAAGTTAAAATTACTTCTGTGTTCATTATAATTTTGTCTAAAGATTGACTTGTCGACTATAAAGCTAAGTCAGCGTAAAACTGAAAAATACTCAGATTTTGGATTCATTTTTCGAATAGTTAACCCTCGTTAACCCTAAAATGACTTAGATTATTATAATCCTTAATCATTTATTAATAAATATCTGTTAAAATTAGACTTGGCGAATTTTGGCCAATTTATGAAAATTGAAATTGAAATATACTATACTTTTACAGGTCATGTAAATGTTCCATTAAATTCGAAACTTTTCTTGGTTGAAAATATTAATATGTTTGATATTTTATGAGAGATAAATGTATCAGCTTCAAAATAGAAAAGATTGCGCAGCCATAGTGATTCACAGTATGTAGTGCGCATTGAGAAAAAAAGGTGCTCTCCATTTTGTCATGTTCAATGTTTTGGTCAACTATGCCTGCTGAACATTTGATGGCGGGGAACACATGGGACTTCAAAGGCATCGCGCAAACGTTCTTTACGCGCTGCGGCAACTTTGATCTTGGGTCATTTGCATAGCGCTGCGTGCGCGTAGCTTTGCCGAGTGATCTCCTTCTCAATAATACCACCATGGATAGAGCATAGAGCCTATTAAACAACTAGATGGCTGCCGTAGGAAAGCGCCACCTTCAGGCTTAGTATACATATTATTACCATAAATAAGCCCTCTGACTGAATATTATTTCATTTATGATAATTAGTATTGATAATGACAAATTATTAAACTGTCGTAGCCAAAAAGAGGCCAAGTAGAGCCTCTTATTCAAATATTAAAAAGAATTAAAATCGTGTACATTACACCCATACACCGCAACGCTCGAGTTTAAAATACGGGTAACTAGCTGTACTGAACTTTCTGTGTAAATTGAGGGCGCAATTGAAAATGATAGTGCTCAGGGGAAATTTGATTGGCTAAATCTATGGCAGCCATCTTGGATGGTACACACACACAGCTCTGCGTATTTCGAACATTGAATGCATTGCTGTTAGCGCTCTAGTATTCTTATTATATCTCTATGGATGGTACACATACCCAGCTCTGCATTGCTCCGCCATCTTGTCAGCACTCTAGTTGTTTAATAGCTCTATGAGATAGAGAGAGTTTGGACAACTTGGCACATGGGCGCCATGGTGTCACCAAACAGCGTGCGCGCGTATAGCTTTATAACATTTTATAAAACACTGATGTTGCATAAACTTTTTTTCATTATTCTGTACATGAGGACAATTCAATTATGGGATTTTAACATATCATTGCAAATATCATATATAATCATATTTACCTAACTTTGGAATTAATTAATCAGTGACGTGCTGTATTATTTCGAGAAGATAAAGTGAGGACGATTCTTTATTTTTTTTTCGTTACGATTATCTTTTTGTTTTCAAAGTCTATCATCTAGGCTTATACCTAGTTGCTAGCAGCCTCCCCTAATATAGCAACACTGCAGAGGAGAAAGGTTGGTTGTGCAGACAGAGTAGGTTTGTGAATCGTCGGCGATAATATGTTAATTTCGCCTGTAAATGAATGATAAAAATATTAATAACATGAAAGTTTTATAATTGTATCTAGCTAGGCCTTCAGGCCTATGACTTCGTAAACTTTAATTAATGAAATAATATGCTGGTCATCTTAAACCAATACAAATAGCCTAGGCCTATTTGTAAATTGTAATCTCAACAATAAATCAAAGTTGAAGAATTATTGCATTAAGAGAAATTTTTGTACAACATATGCCTAATCATTCATAATCAAGAAGCTAGGCCTTGTAAGTAAAATAGCAGCATTCTCCACACTTCTGTTTATAATGTATTAGTGAGTTATAATATTATCATTATTACTGTATTATTATTTATTATTATTATTATTTATTATTTATTACTATTCATTGAAATTTTGATTTGTAATTTGTAAAACATTTAAACGTTTTGATTTAAAATATGTATTAAAACAATCAATATATTATAATACAATTAGGCCTACCTATATCTTTAAAATATATTTTTATCTTTAAAATCTTTAGTTGCACAATTAATTGATTTGTAAAGCACAATTGGGCATGTTTGCATAGCACAGGACTCTTTGGACAAGTTTTCGCTTTTATTGGAGGATTCAATTTTTTATTTTTAATTATAATTTAAGCTACCTTTGACTGATTCTTCATGTAGCTTTCTGGAAATTTAGTTATATAATTTAACAGCAAAGTGCAACATTGCATCTTTTTATAAATCATTGCTGTTTGAAAATCCTTCCTTTTTTTCTTTTATTATCATCATAATTAAGCCGATTTAAGTACTACCTTAAGGTGTTCGGCCGAAGAAGTACCGAAATTTAGGCCTGTCTAGGCCTAGTAGTAGTAGGTGGATATATATTACCGCGAAGTGGGCGGGCGGTACATGCCTTATAATTTACTACGTGGAAAGCAAGATTTTTCGATCGCCATGCAAAGTTAAAATAAAATCCCAAATCCTCCTCCTTTTTGGAATTTAAGGAAATTAATACATTTTTGTTTCTTTGTTGGATCGATTGCAGCAACCCCAACATAACGGTATTTCACATTATAATTATAGCATTAATCATCTATAATAACTGCTACCGGTAACTTCCTACCCTATCGCGTTGTTTTGTTTTGGTGACAACATGGCCGGTGTAAGTCACGTGATTGAAACCGAGTTGGCCAAACTCTCTCTATCTACGGCTCTGTTGTCAACAGACGTTGGTTACCGTTCATTACGCCTAAATGTCTTCATAGGCTTTCTGGAATAGCATTTTAAAATCTAATGTTTTACCATCAAAATTTACTAAAACACAAAAGCTCGCATTATATTAGTTATTGAACACACATTTAATCATCATTCAAAATTTAGAATAAAAAAGTAAGATACAACATCTTAATAATTACGTTAGAAATTGGGATCAATGGTTTGTCAGTGAAGAAAATTGCGTCCGGTTGGTCTTTTTGCAACGATAGAAACGGAGTAGTAGGCCTATCATGTGGTATCGTGACGTAAAACTGTAGTACTTTAGCACGCACCACCTATGTAAACAAATTACAATTGCCAGTAGGCAGCACAACATGAGTATCAGATGTTCTTCAGAATACAATCGACATCGTATGCCAACCCACATAGAAGCCGATACAACATGGTGATTAGATTATGCTCCCCATCATGATCATTATCATCTTAATCATAATAATGATGAAGATGATCATGAAAATCTCTATCAATAATATTATTTTCAATAATAATAATAAAATAATAATAATAATAATAATAATAATAATAATAATAATAATAATAATAATAACAATATAATATTTATTAGAATTATTATTATTATTATTATTATCATCATTGTTATTATTGTTGTTGTTGTTATTATTATTATTATTATTATTATTATTATTATTATTATTATTATTATTATTATCATAATTGTCATAATTAGGCCTATTTTTATTTTTTAAATTACTGTTACTAATTTCATGTTGATATTAAGGGGTTAATTATAGCCCTATATGATTTTCTGGCATAGGATTTTTTAGCCTCTTGACACTTAGTGTATTTGTGGAAGGTGTTTGATACATATACTATATTATTGGGCCGTTACCATTACAATTATTCTACACCGACCCAAGGGAACTTTTTAAATCATCAATAGTCCATTTGGACTAAGTGACAGTTATTAGGTCATTTATATGTACATAGTCCTATGTTTTGTTTTTATTAATTTTTATCTACCTTTTACACTAGGAATAACTCAGCCCACAGAGAGCCCAAATGTTGGTACGACAATTATCATCATTATTGTTGTTTGTGCGGCTGTGTTTATACTGATCATTGTTGTTATTGTCACCGTGTTAAAGAAGCGAAGGTGTGTGTTCTTGCAATTTCTTTGCACATTAAGGTACTTTTATTGAGTATACTGATTAGGCCGATAAAAATTCGGTAAAACAAGTAAATTTTGTATAATCCCTTTTATTGTCACTTTGTGCAGGAAACATAGGAACGACCATCCAAACGACGTCGTTGACGTTATCGAACTCCCTGCCGTTGCAATAGACAAGCCAGTGCTTCCCGAAAAGCCATATTTAAAGCGTAAACCAGGTATGACTGCATCGGATAGAATTTTTCGTAATTTGTTTCTACAGCAGGTACTGAAATGTAAATAGGCAAGTTACTTAAGTAGGTTTAAAGCAAATGTGTTTAAGGACATTAACTCTATGCTGTCGATCAAAGCAATGGTTGACAACCAGTGAATTGACAAGTTGACCACCCCGGTCGTCAAAATTGTGGTTGTAAATCTTCATCTAAAAATCAAATCATATTTACAGCTCGAAATTTCCATTGTAAATGTGTGTGATTTTTGGCAGCGTATAAATTTACATTTTTGCATAAGCATTTCTTAACTCCCTTCTCTTGTTTTAGACCATGGTAATATGAATATGCAGGATGGAAACGTGGACGAAGAAGTGGAGCTAGAGATTGTCGAGAAAGAAGAATTACCGATGCAGGAATTTGAATCGCCCCCGATTCCCGTTTCCTCCCTATCTGAGTATGTACGTACTAGAAAAGAAACAGGCCAGCTTCGGATAGAATGGAAGGTAATAATTTCATAATATGACTGGGTCATTAACTTCTTAGATTAGAAATTGTACATTTTTGTTCTTTTAGGATTTTTTAGCCCTAAACATTAAATTCATAAACTATAAAATAAATTACACTATAGGTCATTAAAAAGGTTCTAAAAATAAGAATATTAATTAGAATATAAATTTGTGAAGTGTTTTGTAGTGTAAGTAAATTAATTAATGAATATGATTCCTTTTCATAACTTAGTACACGTAGCTTTACAAATACAGTAAAGATGGGTTTATTGTTCAAGTCTTATGTGAACACTGCATATTTAAAATGCGTTTTAAAATGCAAAAAAATCAATTTATTAAAAAGGGTATCGCAGAAAGTAAAAATGATGTTAAATCAACATGGAAACATATTCAAACATATTTAAATACTAATAATTTAATTAATATTAATCAATCTGGTTTCCGTCCTTCTTATTCAACATCTACAGCTTCAATTAATGGAACTGAAGACTGGTATAATGAAATTGACAAGGGCAATATAATAGGACTTTGTGTGCAGGATTTAAAGAAGGCATTTGATACAATAGACCATAACATTTTATTAGATAAGTTAAAACTATATGGCTTGAGTAAGTTCACACTTGATTGGTTTAAATCATATTTAATGTAAAGTATGCTGATTGCACAGCAATATATTATTCATCAAGTTTAAATAATAACACAATTCAAAGTATAAATAATGATCTAGAAGCAGTTTATAAGTGGTTACAGATTAACAAACTTAGTCTAAACATAGAAAAATAAGAATTTATGATAATTGGATCAAGACAACGCTTAGCAATTGTAAAACAAAATAATAATTTTACTAAAAATATAAATGGAAAAGACCTTCCTATTGTACACTCATGTAAGCATTTAGGTGTAACTATAGATGCAAATTTATCATGGAATGCTAATACAGAAAAATAATAGTCGTAAACAGGACTTAAAAGGTCTATATGTTAAGAGGTCAAAACCATATTTCTCAATCTATACTAAAAATGGTGTCCAATTCCATAATAATGCCTCATCTAAACTACTGCAACATTGTCTGGGGAACTGTGGCTACAGACAATACAAAATAGAACTGCATTATTGTTTGTGGGGAAGCCTGGGACACGCCCAGTAAACAATGTATTGCGTGAAATATATTTGGTGTTCACTTTCAAATAAACAATTTGATTGCAACATTCTTGTATACAAAATTTTAAACAATATGGCCTCATCTTATCTAACTAATTTGTTCTATTTAACTAATGATAATTATGATTTCTGTAAAAGTACAAGTATAACTAATTATAAAAAGAGAAGTATTTTATACCGCGGAGCTATTGAATGAAAAAAAATAAATAAATTCAAATGTACAAACTTCAAATACTTTAAGCCCTAAAAAAAAACATATTATATATTCCACCACAATGTTTATAAATGCAATATTTTTCTGTTTAGAGTAAAATAGAATATACTTTTTTTTTAAATAAATTACTTTGTATAATGTAAATATCCTTATTTCGTTATACTGTATTAAGCTTTTCCTTTATATTGTATGTTTTGTAAATTCCATCTATATTTTGTTTTCTTTTTTATCACGACCATGATGAAAAAACAGCAAGTAATTTGTTGAGTTACGTTTTTCATGAATAAATAAAGTTTTACTTCTACTACTACTTCACACATGTCACATGATAAAAGTGTTAGCACCCCACCACCACATGCAAAATCCTCTTCTCAAGTACTTCCCCTACAAGAGCCGACTCCTCTAACGAATCACCACTCGTAAGCTCATTAATCTGGCAAACTTTTCCCCTTACAAATACTGTAGTCTCTTGCAAACGATCATGCAACTATTCTCTTCGCAATTTCTCCCTTGCCCACACGTCTAACAGCAAATTCACTCCTTCGCAAAACTGGATAATACTACTTTATGTTGGTGTGGCTTTGGTGTCTTTGTTGGTTCTGGGACATTTGATAATTGGCCTGTTGTCACCCGGCCTTTTGCACCTCGCCATTTGCCACCCGGCCCTTTTGCCACCCGGCCTGCGGAACCCGTCTCTGGTTGATAGTCTATATAATTGTAAAGGCCTATTTAGCGCCGTAATGAATGGTTGTCTTTCAAACTGATTATATTTTCAATTTATTCTTTTTATTATCATTACTGTCATTTTATTTTATCTGTATTGTTATTATGATTATTCTTGATTACGATTATCAAAATATTTTTCCTACTTAGAGCTTCCCAGAGGGTCTGAGATTCCCAGCAACTGTAGCGCTGCAGAAGTGTAACCTGAAGAAGAATCGCTACAAGAATGTAGTCCCTTGTGAGTCAGACTAATTAGATTTCTAACATAAAATACTACTTATAGTAATGATACTATAATAATAATGAAAATATTGAAATTGATAATGTTATAAAAATAATAACTAGACTTACTATGTCTGTGTGTACAACAGAACATAGGGCATTTCCTCATTGCTATAATGAGAAATGAAAATTGCAACAAAAAGAAACGTTAAAAGTATAAAGTAGAGGGAAAAAAACATGGAAAACTAAAATGCTTATAATACTAAAACAAATTATGAAGTAAAATAAATAACAATGAAAACCAATTTCACAACTACCGCGACGTTAGTGATATTCGAACTATTGCTGCAATAGCGAGGTACATCAAGACTCATAACCATTGCCCGTTATACGATCCGACTTTGTATAGGTCAGTGTATTTTCCGTAAATTGAGATTCAGTGACTGTAACCAAAAATGTTTCATGCATCACATGGTAGTTTTGAGTTTAATCTAGCTGTAGCTGGTTCAAACGCTCTAGAAAAATCAAATCTACCCTACTGCGGATGTCACCAAAATGTGATCATTTCTTCATTTGACTATGAAAAACTATTCTGCAAAGTTTCATTTTCATCCATTTATAATGACCCTTAAATTTACACCCTAACCTGGATTGTCCCAAACACATAGCAATATTTATCCTTGTAACTTGGTTAAACTTTACCGAAAGTTTCATTCGGATAAGCTTTTGCAATATCGTTTTCCTTGAATGTCCTCATATTCACACCCTACTCCGGAACGTCACAAAAATGTAATCATTTCATTCACAGACCTTGAAAAAAAAAACTATCATAGAACATTTATTTAGACCCATTAAAAACTTTTTTTAGAGATATTTATGTCCGGGATCTCACTAACTTAAATGACCTTCACATTACCCTCAATTAGATTGTCCCCAACACATAACAATTTCCTCCTTTGTAACTTTGTTAAACTTTCCCGAAAGTTTCATTCAGATCAGTTGATCCGTTTTTTTTTAAATGTGTGGTCTGGGACGTTTACATTTGATGAATGGTCCTCATATCCACACCCTACTCCGGATTGTCACCAAAAATATTATCATTTCTTCACTAAAATTGACTAACTATTACAGAAAGTTTCATTAATACCCATTGATATTTTTTTATAGAGATATTAATTATTTCTGGGACCTCAGAAATTTAAATTACCCTCAAATGTACACCCTAAACAGGATCGTCCCCAACACGTAATAACTTCTTCCTTGTAACTTGGTTAAACTTTCCCGACAGTTTCATTCATTTTGATCCGTTTTAGAAATATCTGTTTTGGGACGTTTTCTTTTGAATGGTACTCAGATCCACACCCTACTCCCGATTCTCACGAAAATGTAATCATTTCTTTACTAGACCTTTGCAAACTGTTATACAAAGTTTCAATTATACACATTGATGTTTTTTTTAAAGAAATATTTAGGTCTGGGACCTCAAAAAATTAAATTACCCCCAAATTTTACACCCTTTAACTGCATCGTCCCCAACACATGATAAATTCTTCCTTGTAACTTGGTTAAATTTTCCCGAAATTTTCATTGAATTGACACGTTGTTGAGAAATATTTGGTGTATAC